CCACATAAAAATAAACCATACACTCATGAATGATGACTGTGGCTGTATTCGCCAAAGGAGAAATAAGGGGAAGCCTGGATAAGAAGTGGATAAAGATGTATACAGATGCTTTTATAGAGAACAGACAGCTAAAATGGACAGAAAAGGTCCTCTGCTGAAAAACTTCCCAAACGCATGCGCATCAATTCAAGTGACACAAGGAACCTATAACTAAGTAATGAGCGATAACTAAAAAAGCATTTCCTGAAGGAAAAGCCCGTGATTGTTGGAGGCATTGCTGGCTGGCATGTCAATGGATTCAAATTCTAATTGAAATGAAAAGTTATGACTCACTGAGTTAGCTGTGAAATACAAACCATGCATGTGGACTTGTTTCTATTACATATTGCATGGTCATTTCTATAATCTCATTAAAATGACTTGTTGTGTTCCACGTTCCAGGAGTTTTTACCGTAAACCGGCTGAAATAGGAATATAGAGAGTAAGTTGTCTGTACCACATCATCATGGATTTAGTTGATTCTTGTGTGATAGTGAGTGGATACATCAGTTAAATGCAATAGGGGAACAGATGAATTTATTGTAAGCTCTCTTAGTAAAGTCATAGATCAAGATACTGTGACATTACTGTTGCGTGTGGTCCCAGGAGCAACAGATTATACCTCTGACCACATTCCACCTCACACATCAATGCTGGAGGGTTTGATCATTCCACAAAAAAAACACTTCATATTTCCATGTTATGAATGGATCGAAAGACTAGCGTTGAGCAGCTGAGAGTTGGTGGAGACCATAACAGAACTGAAAGAACAGTGAATATCATACTCTTGGTTTCATCTGTTGGACATAAACATTCTTTTGTATCATTGATCATGCTGTTTCTGTTGGATTTGCTTCGAGGGAAAAGTTTGCCAACACATCCATCGATAGTTTGATAAGGTGATAATGAATCAGTTGACTTCACACTTTGTTCTGCTGCCTCCAAGTGGCCAAACAACAGATCAATGGATCTTTAAACACTGAGCAAAGGCGTTTGAGGGGTCTGTTTGGATGTTTCACCTTGGTCTGGTGGATATTTGAGGGCTTGCTTTTGTACCTGTGTACCCTTGTTGTGCCCATCTGTGCAGAGCCACCCTCTAACCAGGTGAGTTACATTTGTGCCATCAGGGTCACAGGGGGGAAGCAGCAACAGCTGCCTACCAGAGCCAGCCTGACTCGTGTGTTATGCAAACAAATGCAAAAGCAAAAACAGCCACTCATGCAGAAATAACTATGAGGGCTCACAAATAACTACATATATGCACATGGAATCTAAATTCTTAACAACTGCACACACACACACACACACACACAGACACACACAAACACATGGTCTGGAACAGATAGTTATAGTCTGCCGGTGTGTCCCTGCAGTGAGAGACTCACTACAGAGAAGGAAAAATAGGCCCTCATAGGATTCAATCACAAATATTCTGAACTGAAAATATCTCAGATCAGGGGTGGGGAACCTTTTCTCTACCGTACTAAATTATTGTTTATTATTAACTCATTTATCTCACCAGGGCTCCCGACTAATTTTTTACATGAATTGCACTGGTGTTCTGACGTTTGAATTAGAATTAAACATTTTAAAATATCCTAAATGAGGAAGACACAACCAAAACAATGTGTGTTAACAGAAATTACTCTTGAATAAATATTAAACATAGGGCACAGGATATGTTATCAACTCAGTAAAAAAGGTGGGATGGTTAGGATTCAGATGAGCTGTGTGTGTGTGTGTGTGTGTGTGTGTGTGTGTCTGCTCGTTGCTCTTCATAATCAAACAATCACATTTATTTAGTTATTGATCAATGGTGTCACATCACGAATCCAGATCTTTCGTTTTTAAATACAGTATATGTCTCATAAACTCTAGAGCAAATCACACAAAAACAAAGTAAACTTCAGTACTGTACGTGTCCTAATAAGATTAGTTATGGTGTTTATTGTTAACGTTTAAAGTGAGAGCAACTCAACAGGAGTGTGGAGGGAGCACACCCACACAGGAGACTCTGACACAGTACAAACCAAGCAGCGACGCTGCTTCTGCTCTGATCCTGAAGCAGTATTTGATCATAATAATTTTTCATTTAATACTAATAATTTGTGATTGGGGGTCCATCATAGAAATCCTGTATTCAAACATTTTTTCGCCACTGTAGTAAATTTTCCGCCTCGGTTACGAGTTCTCCTCGTCTCATCTCTCTGTCTGTTTGTGTGAGTGAGTGAGTGAGTGAGTGGGGGCTGGGCTGGGCTGGCCCTGTGTGTGTGAGTGTAAACTCCACCTTGCTCCCAGACTTATAGGACAAATACATAGAGACACATCAGCTAAATATCAGGCGCGACCAAGGACATTTTTAGTCGCTTTTCAGGGATTTCTTTTTCTTGTGTTTATGAATTGCCTCGCGGCTTGGAGCCAGACACTCTCCACCCCTGCTTTAGATGGTTCATTGACCTGTGTGGTTGCCTTCTACTGCAGCTGCATGCTTTGTGGTTCCTTGTCCCTAAATATTCACTCTCTACTAAAACATTGTGCATTTCACCAGGCTCCCAACCATTTTGTAGAGCTGTTGAAAATGTACTTTTCATTTTTATCTTTTCACTTCAGGGTCACTTTAAAAATGCATTTGACTTAAATTGCATTTAAATCTGTGTTGTATTTTACAGCCTGCCTCACACTGACTGTCTCTCTCTCTCTCTCTGTCTCTCTCTCTCTCACACACACACACACATATTCCCATACACATGGGTTAGGGCTCTGCACTGTGAGATAAGATAGGTCAAACGTGGTGCTGGTTTGAGCGTGGGTCTTGAGGGGTGTGTGTGTGTGTGTGAGTTGGGGGGAGGGGGATTTGCATGGTGAATAGCAATGTCCAAAACTAATCGGGATTAACTTCTAATCGCTTCAACCACTGGGCCGCTATGCCACTCAATTATGGGCCCTGGCCCCTGATTGGCCCTTATCATAACTGGGCAAGGAAAGGAGGAAGGGGATGGGGGCATTGCTGGGTTGTGGGATAGATTGGCCACAGCATGGTTGTTCTCTAAGAATAAACACTGCTACTGTCTATTTCTCTACTGTATATAATTCTTTTTCTTTGATCCATTGATTGTCTCTATATTTAACCATTTTCGTTAAGCTTTTCGGTTTTCTTCTCTTACAAGAACTTCTCTTATTCAAATAAATTTCAAATCCTCTGCTTCTTAACTCTCTTTTAGCTGTTTCACTCTGCTTCCCAGACTTATTAATCGCAGCCCATGAGATTATTTAATTAAGTCTGTCCTCTGAACAGAGGAGGTGGAAAAAAAAAACGACAAATAAAGTGGTCGCCTCAACAATGTGGTCCACACAACTACGAGTCAGGCTGCCATGTTTGCCCTTGGTAATAATATTCCTAAAATAATTTTTTCTCTTGTGTTACTATTGTACACAGAGGAAACATTGCAATTGAAATCAAATTTAGTAAATAGCTTCATAGAGCACAGATAATGAATCTTCAATACTTGTGACACACCACTTGAAAGCTAACTTCGGACTGCAATCACCTCTGTATTTTCTTCGGAGATAAGACACTGCTTCTGTGGGTTGAAGGATCAGAGTCTGTTGAACCTTACCCAACACCTGACCCAACATCACAGCTGGGTGTCAGATGCGGTCTGTTGTACTGTGACTACACCAGAAGTCTCAAACTAGTACTGACTAGTGCTTGAACAAACTACAGCATTAGCATCATTATTGGCTTTATGGGAAGTCCTCGCAGAGGCATTTGGGAGAGAGAGGAAGAGAGGGAATGAGGTCAGGATGAGATGAATTAATGAATAAATGAGCAACTATGAACAATCATTTTAGTCATTTAAGAAAAGTATCGATGATTATGTGGTGATCAATGCTGATAATGTGGCGTCATTTCAAATAAATCAACGTTTAAGCTGTAATGAGTCAGAGACGTCAGCTGGGTCTGTGTGAGTGTCTGTGTCTACGCTTGATTGCAAGAGAGAGTGAGTGTGTATGTGTGTGTGTGTGTGTGTGTGTGTGTGTGTGTGTGTGTGTGTGTGTGTGAGACTGCACACTGTGATATTGCCCTTATCTTAAAAACTGCTTTTACCTTTCCCTCAAATTCTGGGACTATACTATAGAAGCTACCTAATTCGGTTCTAGTAATCAAGTATAAAAGCATAAAATGTATTATATTGTTACAAATGACAAAATCAAATGTTAAGTCAAAAATATGAATCAATACATCTGAATATATTAGTGACTAATAATAGTAATAAATATTCCCTCTTAGCTCATGAAATTGGAACAATGGGCTCTGAGGAGATGCAATTCAGCATGATATTTAATGATATTTAATATATAATTGAAGTAAATACTCTTTATTTGGACAAACAGTTTAATACTAACATATCTCTGTGCAATATTCATGATTTAAAATGAAGAACTAATGAGTTTTAATTTGGAAGACCTGCTCAATGGCCAGGACATAGTGTTTGGATTAACCATCCTCTATTATCTCATGTGTTTCTCCAGTTACGGACGAGTATACGCTGCCGACCCCTACAACCACACACTCACTCCAGCAGCCACATACAGCGTTGGTGCCATGGTAAGCGTGTCAATGCCTCGCACAGATCTATTTTCTCCATCACAACTCCTCCTCATATCATGCATCCTCTTGATTCTCATTTTCAAAATGTCAAAAATCTATATAGATAATAATATTAAGCATTAAAAATAACTTTATATGATCACAGTCATATAGCCCAATCAAAGGCCTCGGAAACCAACTTAGTTTCAGAACAAAATGAATGTCGTCCCTAAATTCAGTACTATCTGAGGCTTTGCTTTGTTATTAAAGACAATGTAGATGCAACAAATGTGCAATCAAGTGGGAGAAACAAGTTGCCCATAGAGACCTTGGAAGGATTCAATCAACCTGCCAGTTGGACACGTCTCGAAAATCATCATGGTAGCTTGAATCCATGCTCTCATTGTTTTATTTTAGTTACTATCCCAGCTCATGACCACAGGTAAGGTTTGGATTGGGTGGTTAACTGAAACCAGTGTGGTATATCACCTGTTTTGCATCTTACATTCATGAAAATAGCTAAACTCCGCCACTTACAATTGTGCTGGACATTGTAGTCTGATGAAGCCAAAACAACATTGTCTTTAAATCCAACTGCCTTACAAGTTAAGAAATGGACCACTGTTCTTTGACCAGGATGGAATACACATTGTTCCCAATAAAACTGAGACGTGACAACTGGCCAGAGCCTCTTTTCTGTAACCAAGGCACAAGCTTGCACCAGAAAGGCGTCATATCTGGACCCGACTGTTCTAATTCTAACTAAGCCCTTTGACTTTCCAATAACAAATGTCCTCTGGCCCCTTGGCCTACGCCCAAAAGGTCAATTTGGATACTTTATCCTTTGGCATGGTACTAGCATTTAATCAAAATCAAAACAAGTTAGAAACAAATGCCAGTTTTTGATTTTCTTATTGAACCTAAATCCTCCCAAATAAACTTCACATTTGCAATCAAGTATAAACATGTTGACTGAAAAATAGTCACTGACCTTCACCTCCTGCAGACACTTAAAAAGGGATTTGAGTTTATAAATGTCACCTTTTAGGTAAATCATTCAAACTATGAGTGTGAAATTTGAAAAGCATTGAAAAGTATTCACCTCAGAATGCCAATAGAATCCCCTTTAACAAAAATGGAACTGTTAAATGTTACCTGTGTGCTCTGCCTTTATTTAAAAACAGATATGCATTTAAGAAAAAAACATTTTAAAGTGGTTTGAGTCGACTATTGAAGCATTGAAGACACTGTTTGACCATTTGTGACATATGGTACATTATCTATGTGCACTCATTATTAACTAATATCTTGTCCATCTTAATATATAGCTACATGCCATGTGTTCATTGAAAGAGGTTTTGGTTGTTGCTGTCCCTCCTTCATGCTGAAAGTGAAAAAGAAAACCCTTCCTAGAGTGACTCCAATATGAAAGATCGGGAAAAAATGCAAAGTGCAAAAATGCATACAGTCAAACCTGATATGATGCTGCAGCAGTCTGAGTTCGCCAAGTCAATCATTATTTTCATTATCATTGTCAAAACAATGACAAAACCGAAAAAATGATTATTATTAAATAACACTTTTCTTTATCGGACCCCCTTTTAGCAATATTTAGTAGGTGACAGTAATTGTAACTGCAACTTAACACTGTACAGAGACGAAAAGAGGCCATGTTATCCGCAATGAAACTCATTTTCACAGAAACAAGGCAATACACCGTACATGCTGGTAATATGCTCACTGAAAAAAGAAATCTACTCACCGCTATGCCAATGGAGTGGTGGGTGAAGTGTTTGAGTCCACAAAACCCTTTAGGAGTCTCAGGGGTAAACAGTGTTGCAGTCAAATCCAATACAATTGAAGTAACTGGTGACTACTGCTTCAGACATAATAAAAAAACATAACAAGCCTCCATACTGCTCTTGTGGTGTCATCCAAGTTTCCAAAAACCCCGACATTCAAATTATGACTCGAAAAGGTGTTGTTTCTCTTTACGTTTGAGGAGGGAGTAACCAGTTACATCAAAAATCAGTGGAGGAGCTGCAGGTGAGATGGTGAGCTGTCCCTGGCTGCGTTTCACCCGAGTCATCAGAGAAATGGTGCACACCTGGAGGGCCCCTCAATGGGCCTACCAGGACGGTCCAGATGGTTGGTGTAGAAGTCCCGGGGGAGGGTGGCATACACGTTGAGCTGCTGGGAGATCCTGGAGCATTCCTCAGGACTGTAACCCTCCCAGTCCACCAGGTATTGAAACCCTCTGCCGCGCCGCCGGACCACCCAAGCCAAGTGGGAACTCCAGGAAGAGAAACAGCATAGAGCTGCTTCCAGGTCCTAGACCTAGGTGACCTAGAACCAAGGGTGAGTTAGGAGCAGGAATGACTAGAAATTGGATGGACTCTTGGTGGTTGCCAGAAGTGAGCAGGTTGATAGGGGTGGTTTGTTGGGTGATTCTAGCCAGGTGTCTGCCATCTAAGGCATTCACATCTATGGGTTCAGGAAGAGGAGTGAGAGGGATGTTGCTCTGAGAAACTAGATTAGAGTCAATGAAGTTCTCATCCGCGCCAGAATCCACCAGGGCCTGGAGGGAGAGAAAGAGAGAGAATTAAAACTAATCTTAGCATCTACCAGAGTTCGGGATGAGGTTAGGTTGATGGAGGAGTTGGTCTGGCTCAACAGGGTCCCTCCTCTGCCCGATGAGCCTAATCTTTTGGTCGCTTAGGACACTGGACCAGGGTGTGGCCAGGCTGACCGCAGTACAGGCAGCATCTCTCTCTGAATCTCTGCTGCCGCTCTGCTGTAGAGAGCCTGGTTCTCCCCAGCTGCATGGGCATCTTCAGGGGGTTCAGCAGAGGTTGAGTGAGGAATGCGTCAGGTGACAGTAAACAGGGTGAGGTTCTAGTGTGCGAGGCTGGGGCTTGCAGGCGACCTGCTCTCTCTCTCTTTCTCACTCGAATGCGATTATCCAAACGGATGTCTAAAGAAATAATCCATCTAAGGATTCTGTGTAATTTTTTACAGCTAATTCATCTTTAATATTATCGGTGAGACCCTGAGCGAATACATTCTGTAGAGCGAGCGAATCCCAGGCACTCTCTGTTGCCAGGATGCAGAACTCGACAGTGTACTTGGCAAAGGAGCGTGTACCCTGTCGGAGCAAAAGCAAGTGACTGACTGCCTCCTTGCCCCTAACAGGGTAGTCAAAGACTTTCTTCATCTCCGCTTGAAATGACAAATGTGTTGTCTCAATAAATTCCCCTGCGCCGTGATGGTGTGGTGCAGTGCATCTGACTCTGCAGGATCCATAGCTGGCCAGTTCGTTCTGTTACGGACCCCAGCGCAGAGATAGCTACACAAGGAGATGGTCCGAGTGGAAGGTTAAACCAGATTTTATTGTCTCAGTAAGGTGGCACGAAGTGGTGGTGAGGTAGTGGAGAGCAACGTGTTTGTCCACTGAAGCCAGTCCACGGGGAGGGAAGGCAGGCGAACCGGAGATCCTGTAGACACGAGGGAAACAACTGCAACGGTAGTGACGAAACACAGGAAAATAACTCTAATCACACTGTTTGGAGCAGCCAAGAATGAGTACTACCACTATGGTATTGAGGACGAACTGGTGATGAGAACACGGTGGGAGCACGACCAGGGTAGATATCCCTGCAGTAATCAGTGGATGAGCTTCAGGAGAGGTGGTGAGCTGTCCCTGGCCGTGCTTCACCCGAGTCATCACAGAGATGGTGCACACCTGCAGAGGGAAGGGGGAAAAGCACTGGGGGGCACAGAGGAGCTGTGACAATTGTATTGGATTTGGCTGCAATGCTGTTTACCCCTAAGACTCCAAAAGTGTTTTATGGATAATGAGTGAATTTTCATTCTTCGCATAACTATCCCTTTAAGCTGACAATAAAAATATAGTCCATGTATAAGTTTTTCCAAAAGCCTTTTCCTACTTTCATTTTAATTTCATTACATTTCTTACATTAGAAACAATTCATTAATTGCTATCTTCTTTAACTGTTCTCCAATTTCTTCACACATTCTCACTTCACCCCCCCTGCCTCCCCCTCACCCCAATCTCTTCTTCAGTCACCATGCATGCTTTTCTGCAGCGTTGACATCTCCTCACTTAAACTTAATTGAATTTGCCTGTGCTGCTAACAGCAGTCCAAATGCCACATTAATCCCGCCTGTAAAAGGTGATGAATGTCTTCATGCCTTGGCAGCCCAGTCCATGTTAGTTATTATATTTCTAATTTGGTGGATACCACCTCACCCTGCACTCCCTGGTAATGAAATAATTAGTCATTTTGATAATTAAATCCCTTGTGGTGCTGCAGCCGCAGGCAAGAGGCAAGGGAAGAAGGAAGCGAGTGGGAAAGCAGGGTGGAAGGGATGGAAAGATAGTTGAAACTTGTTAGTAAATCACATAAAACACAATCCGGACTGAACAGAAATCTGTCAGCGCAGCCACCGTGTGGTTAGTCAACAAACTGTTGCATCAAAGATGTAAAGTGCTAGTGAAATATTAATGCAAAACACCGATAAATCTTGTCGAAGTTGCCACATAAATTGAGTGGGCAATGTCATTGTCCTACACTGGTCCAACATTTAAACTGCCTGTGAGTCCTTCCTTTGCACAACCAGTTCCATATCGTTTCTCCACAGTAAACCTCTGATACCCCTCGTAAAGCTTCAGCCAAATAAGGGTTATCAGAGGAGAAGTAAGGTGAAATTACAGTATTTTAAAGTACAAGCCAAGGTAGTAAAGTCAGAGCTGGTGAAAAGAACCCAAGGGTTATATAACATGAAAAAGGTATTAGCTGTTTGATTACATAACCAAGCTGAAGACTTGTGTTTTATGTTACTGTTACATAAGTGTTAGAGTGACACATAACTATAAGACATTCTAACCATAGAAAAACACATTTCAAACAGAATCTTAATTAATGTGAAAGCAAGTAGTTATTACATTTTTAAAAAATGTTGGCACTTGAAATGGCTCATGTTGCAGTAAAGTTTATACGCTGTTACAACTGATATGTTAACATTATAAACAAAGATGAAAGACGTGTTTTTAAAGTTTTGTCTTTGTTTTTCAAAGTCACATACTCAAGTAGTTGTCACGGATGAAATTATGAAATTGAATTAAATGTTACCCTCCACCTTCCCACCTTATTTACTGACTTGGATCTATGAAATATGTAGATACGGCCCCGCCCCTGCTCCCCATCTTCCCACCCTCACAGTGGTTATTTTTTAGCAGCTGGCATTTGTTTAGTGCAGTGTTATTAATACTGATATGTTTGTTTAACTGAAAAAAAAGTGTTTTACATAAAAAAGGCACAAGGGGGACATGTTAACACAAAAACCTGATTTTCACTAAAGGGAGACTTATATACTTGTGCTGATAGTTATTAAACTTTATATTCGAAGGATAAACATTCGGAGCTATGTCAAGCCAGGACGCAAAGTTGGCTTTATCAATTTACATCCCTCCCTGGATCTGTCTTCATGTCCTCAGTGAAATAGAAATAAAGACAACACATGAATGAGGGAAATGTGGATACAGTTGAAGGAAATGAGGTGTGACGTCTGTTCTTTTCTGCACTGGTCTTACAAGGAGCCAGTAATTAACCTTTCCTGCAAGTATTAAACACGTCCCCACATCTTTCTCTTACCTGACACAGCTTTTAGTTGTCCTTGAATCCAACAGTAAACCTATGCACTGCGTAGACACTCATATGCTTAACCAGAACTTTTATCTATAGACTACATTACCTTGTAGCTGCTACAGTAGCTTTCCCAGCTGGTTGATGGCACTTTCACCTGAATTTCACCTACATAATGACCCCCAAAAGTCCAAACACCATCACTGAATATCTGTTTCCACTGATCTTACAATCCTTAGATTTATTATCAACCACCACTGGTACACACAGAAACTACAAATGTATCATGTCCCTAACAAAAGAAAAACTGGGTTCGAAATGAAGTTTTGTGTGTTGTCATCATCTTAATCCCTGGCCTTTGGCTGAGTTGCTTTTCACTGCCTGTCTTTGAATCACCATCCAGCACTCCAACTAAAGTTGACTGCAGTCTTTCTTTTGATGAAGACTGCAACTCCAAGCCTAGACCACTCACAGGCTGCATTGTTATTCCCATGAATTCCATGAATGTTCCATAAGGACGCCTGTGCAGGTCTCTGAAATATTAGCTGACTAAAGGGTTATTTTCTAGATTAATAACATTGATGAAATACAATTACTCCAAAAGACTAAACACGTATCACTGAGAATGTTTGAGAGCTCAATTCCCTTTCTGAAAAGTTTGAGAAACACAAGGTCGGGGGTTTCACCAAAAACACCCAAAGATGGACCTTTTATTAATATTGTCTTTCATCTGTAAATTCCACAAAAACAAAGAATATATCATAAAATATCTAAAATGAATTTTGCTAAAAGCTGAAACTGCCTCATAATCTCCCTAATCTTCATACAATGAAAACCAGCATGATCCATCCTAAAGATTTAGCGCTCCCCTCTTAACACTGCTTCAAATCACCTTTTGACTTGATTTCTTTGATTCATCTTTTCCTCCACTATTTCATAGTTGTATTGACTGGATTTCTTTCACATAGCTGTTGGCATGTACCCCTGGCATGAAGCGTCTCGCTGTGCTTGCTGCATGACGGTTGCACCGGTCATGGGTCTTTTCATCTCCCATGGGTTTGCACTGGAATAACGGTAATGTAATGTTGAAACTCTAGTAGTAGTTTGTGCTGGACTAAGGGGGGCTAATGAGGGCTTGTGTGTGTGTGTGTGTGTCTGTGTGTGTGTGTGTGTGTGTGTGTGTGTGTGTGTCTGCACTTGTTTACATGCCTTTGTCTTTATTTGTGTGTGTTTTTTGATTTTGTTTCGGTGTGTATGCCTCTGTTTGTGTATATGTGTGTGTGTGTGTGTGTGTCGTTGCATTTGTCCGTGCCTGTATGTGTGTGTTTCAGAACGCATTCACCCCACTGACAGATGCCAAAACTCGGAGTCATGCTGACGACGTGGGGCTGGTGCTGTCCTCTCTCCAGGCCAGTATATACCGGGGAGGCTACAGTCGCTTCGCACCCTATTAGCACCACCTCCAACCTCTAATCAACCTTCCAACAGGACAGAAAGAAAGTGTGTGTGTGTCTGAGTGTGTGAGCGAATGAGAGACAGAGAGAAAAGGAGTTAGTTGAAAGATGTTACTGAGACCCGGGTATTGCAATACATGCAGTTTGTGCATAATTTCCGCATCTCCTGAGAGAGAAGTACAAAAAAAGAATACGAATAAAATGACAGCTGATATTTTTCATCTTATACCTCAGATATTTTGTGCTGTGTATTTTGATATTGTGGGTTTTTAATTTCTAAAGATTTGAACATAGATTATCAGCTGTAGAGTTTTTTTCCCCTGGTACTAAGAGAGAGCTGCTATAGTAACGATTAGGACCCAGTGGGAATTTATCAAATTCAAATTGTCAGGGCTTGTACAGAACTCCAACCCTGTAGGATTCGTCATAGTCACACGTTGAGATTTTTATGTTTCCTAAGAGTGTTTAAGTGACTATGCTAGTCAAGTGTTGTTGTTTTACTTCTCTCAGCTTCCTTTGGCAGTTCCTCTGTCAGTTCTAAATGATAGTTTTTTCTTACCTTGGTTTGGGAGAAGGTAAAGAAGAGTTGGACGCATGAACGCATAAAGAGCTCTTCTCTGAGCTTGTGAGGACAGAATGGGAAAGTTAGAGAAGCTGAGAGCAGCAATGGTTGATCATTTTTGAAATCATGACTATATATCTTGTTATCTTGAAACTACCACATGCTAATAATTTATTTTGTCATATCTGCAAGAACAACATTTTTGTCTGCATGGTCACGTAAATTGCTTTAATTGAGGACTGATGCCACTCAGTAACAACATGAGGTGTTTTTCTTTGTACCATGAAATGTGACATTTGCATTAAATTTGAATTATAAGACACTAAGTCAGAATTATAAAATGAGGTCTCCCGTTCTTATTTCCTTTGGTGAATGTTTTTATTACGACATGAGTATTTGTCAAGATTTTCCCCTTGTTATTAAGACAAAAATGCCAAATATGTGGTCTCTCCTGAAGCATTTCTGCTTTTTTGTAAGTTATCCTGAGATAATGGGGTAATTGAGTCATGATTGCTCAAAATAAAATAACCATAACCATAATCAGAGCTGCTCTCAGGCTGTTCAGTCTTCCATCAGGGAGAGAATGCTTTGAGTCATGTTGTAAGTGTGTTGACTTAATAATGAGGTTTTATCACTTCAAGCCAAAGGTTGTAGTGGACATATCTAGCGTGTGTATGTGTATAGTCAAGATTCCACATAGATATGAATTATGAGATAAGTACAAAAAAAAAAAAAAAGATTGTCATGGCAACTGAACTGTTCAACCATTTAATGCTTACTCCACTGCTGAGATATGAAAAAGAATTAGGGCCAAGTTAATATGAAAACATGCTACTTGTGAAACACAGATGTCTGAGTTGTGACTTAGAATTTGAAGGTTTAATGTTTTGTGGCGCTCATCCTCTTCCGTACTGAGCAGTGTTGGCCATCCAGATGTAGATGTTTTTTTATATAAACTTCCAATATATTCATTGGGATAACTGTTGGTTTTTATATTACAGGAGAGATTTAAAAAATATATATAGCAGTGGCCAAAACCACTGTGTCTATTTTATCATTTTGTCAAATTTGTTCTGCCTTTGTTTTTGTTGTTTATTTGTTTCATAATTACAATTTCTGGGGGGTAAAGTATAATAATCCAACAATGTATTATATTTGAACTGTGCAGTGAAGATGTTCTCTTATATGAAATACACAATGGTATAATGTTTTAGATTTAGATGAATAGATCAGTTGTTAGGGCAAGCGATCTCATTTTCTATCAAATCATACCCTGATTTTTATTAACTCTTTTCAAATAATCGTGTAGATACTCTCATTCATCTATTCTTTTTTTTTTGTCCACTGTACCATTTTGCACATTGTAATTTTCACATGAAACACATATCAGTGCTGTAGTTGTACTTTTTCTTAACTTTTTTTTTTTATCGGTTCTGCAGTTTCTGATTTCATTTGCACTCATGTTGATATTAATGTGACATCCTCTCTGTTATTTTCTACAACTCAGACTTTACTCTTTGAAAATTACTGTTTGAATATTACAAAAGTAAAAAAATATGGGACATTAATGATTTGTGGACAGGCTAATCTATGATGTAAATAAAAGTTAATGAAATAAATCTGTAGTGTATTTGAAAAGCACTACATTGGCAATAGGACCTAGGCTATGGCTGCACTGCAAGCGAGCCCATACGCCATTTCCTCTGCCACATTCTGTTTACAACTATTCCCAATTATTGGTGTTGTTACATATCTCTCTTTTGTATTTATGACAAATTAGATAGGAAAACTCTCAGATGCATCACATTATAAAAAAGGCAACGGTGAGAGCCTCTGTGCCTTTTGGCTCTGCTGGTTCGAACCCTTGTCTGTGTACTGTGTGTGAGGACGATCAGTCTGAAACTAAGAGACTCTTAGTCCTCACCATGCTGAATGTCTGACTACGCAACTACTTTATCCAAGCTCTGCTTCCAGTAGGTGTTGTGGTTCAAAACAAAGCTTCCGACTTCCTATTCACTGTATGCGCATGTACTATGGTTCTTCCACTAATCAATAACCATCAATAAAGTTTTGTTTTCTCAAAAAGTTTTCATCTCTTTGCTATTTGTTCGGCGTCCGAGTGAAACTATTCTCAAAGGAAGATGGCCATGTGACCCAGGATACATTGAGTTTGACGGACGTTGGTTTGTTTCACTGCGACTGGTTACAACACCTCATTTAATCTAGAATTCAAACCCAGGTCAAACCCACGATGTGTCCTGGCTGAGTGTCATTTTCTCTGTGCCTTGTTTAATATAATACTATTCTATTCTTTTCCTATTTATTTTTTCAATGACCAAACCCAGGATTACTGTCTGTTGTCAGCTTAGCCTATTGGTTTTTCTTTTTTTAAAGAAAATAAAAAGGGACGGTCTTATTTGTTGAGGATTTTCTGTGTTCGGTGCAAGACGCTGTCAAAATAAGCTGTGTCTTCCTGGAGCATGTCACTCAGTGTTACCTATTGATGTTTCATATTGTTTTAGGACAATGGTGCTCAACAGAGGACAGAGGAACAGGCGAAACACACATCGAGCTGTAATACACATCTAGTTCTTATTAAAGATGTGGTGGTGACATCGGAAGGACATCCACATCTACTACAAGTTAGTGTTGAGGAGAGGATGTCCTCTGTTTTATTGCTGGGAATTTATCTGGGGAATTTGGTTTTGTTTACACTGTGGAGGTTGAGGTTATAAATGATGAAGTTCATTTTCTGAGGTCACATATGAAAAGCTCTCTTCATTGTGGATTTTTATTTGTCAAGAAATCTAATTTGTCAAATTATTTTTGTTGATTTAGTTTTGTTGTTGCATGTCAGTTTTGGTATCTATGTTACTGTTTACACGTTTTTAGAGGTAGTAGTGAGGCACTTTTAAATGTATTCAATGAATAAACAGACATACAGTCTGCTGTTCTCAACCTGCAGTCCATCATCAGACAAAATGAGGCGGGGAAACCAGCCATTATTCATCATTTCACCACGCTGGAAGGAAGGTACTGCGGGACTGTGTGAAATATGCACGTCATCCCTGCTTTCTAATTGAAGCAAAGAGAATGAGTCTCTCCAACTCAATTTGATTAGTGTAATTAGAAAAAAAATGTAGCCAGAAGCTTCTGCAGAAAGATAAGCAATATAAATGTTTAAAATTGATGAAAGGTTCACATTGCAGAAGGTAATTATGTCTTACTCGCATAGAAACAGGTGATCAATTATTAATGCATAGTGGGTCACATGTGGTGGAGATATAATTCAAACTGCTTATTAAGTCTGTAATTCACAGGAAAAATGTCGAGTTTTTCTATGATACGAGACAGACACTTCAGTAGTGTGTGTGTGTGTGTGTGTGTGTGTAATCATGAACTTGACGTAGCCTGTTATTACTTCTGCACTGTAGCACTCAATTACTTAACTGTCAAATCAATATAATCCATTAAAAATTATTGTTTTGTATTATAATTTTCCAGTATGAACAGCATTATAGTTAAATACTGGACAATTTTAGTATTTTAGTACATGGTGTGTTATATGCTTTTGCAGTATCTTGATGTGCATATTTTCCCGTGCTATGTTTTAAAAATTCAAGGATTACTGGAAAGAAATAGAGACAGTAGAAAAATAATTAAATTAAACTTTGAATAATGATAAGAGGAAGATATAAAAGCTGTGTCCCAATTCTGGAGCCGCATCCTTCAGAGGTCTTGGTCAACAAACCACGTCTACCACGAAGGTAAGGCCGAAATGAGCCATTCTGGTCCACAGAGGATTTCCTATTTGTGTCTCCAGCTTTTCCTGTAAGAGTGCAGTGGTTGTTCTAAACCAGTTTTGGAAGGGGCTGTTTACTTGTCCTGTGGTTATGGTCTGGAGCTACCTCTGAATTTATCCTACCTGGTTTACCTGCTGTGTGGATTTTATAAAAAATAGTTTTCATGAAATGAAATAGATTTGATTTTATTGCTGTTCACTGAATTGTAACTTGAGTGGTGTTAGTTTTTCATACATTGCATGTCAGTTGTTTCAGAGGTCTGTTCAGGCAAAATCGTCAGACCCTATAGAGATCAGCACCCGCGACACCCGTGAATGTCTGTCCAACATGATCAAATGAAAGTAGTTAAATGATCTAAATGATCTGGCAGTGATTCTGATCTGCAGGTTGACCCAGTGACCCAGATTCCGACCACTGCTGTCGTTCATCAGAAGAAGTAAAAGAAGACATGTTGGAGTTGGTCTGTAGATTGAAGGCTCACTGCCGTGCTCCCACTGACTGCTACTCACCTGTTTATCTGTTTTGATTAGTATTGCACGTATCACTTGCACCAAATTCAACACTGCACTTCGACCATTAGGCTAACGCACACCAAGTGTGAAGCCGATACAATTTAGGAGATCTGTATTTTGCATACAGACAAAAGAGAGACATGTATTTGTGGAAGTAGTATGTAGATGAATCTTGGGGTGGGATGGCTTGATAAGGATCCACCAGTTAAATGCTTTGTTGAACACATTTGTTTACCGCATTAGAGGGAGCCGTCAAAATGAGTCACACAACTGTGACTCTATCAGTCAATAAATGCAGCTTTCAAAGGACGCTATCCCTGAATTAGCACAGTTACACTGTGTATAAAGATGCTCTTGACCTTCTATGTGAAGTGCCATGTGTATTATGATTTGGCGCTATACAAATAAAATTGAATTGAATGACAAAAAGTGGTGTCTGTGATTTTAGGAAGTTAGTTGGTTATTTATTAAACAGGGTCATATAATCATATATAGCTGAGACCAACTTGTGATTGGTTGAGGATGTGTATCGGCAGGAGCTCGCTACTATGGCTCCATCGCTTAATTGCCCCTTTGCAGACTCTGGAATTTCATATACAGGATATTTTGGCTTCATTTCTAGATAGTGAGAGGAAGTGGAGCTCCACCTATGTCCTATGCTCCATTTTTATATATTTATGCATTTGGTAAAAGCACTGTTTAAGAAGTAAAATACATGAAATAACTCATAAAAATAAATTAATAAAATTAAAAACACAGCGTCTGGGGTATGTTTGTTTATTAGATGCAGTAAAATTGTATAAATGAATCCCAATCATTGATTCCTCAGTATTGCAACACAATCTCCTGATCAGATGAGTAACTAATTCAAAATCAGAAAATCCTCAGCCGCCATCTCTTCAGTGTCACCACAAAAAGAACACACATGTATGTTGCATACATTCATGAGCATACATGTACACGTTTGCATGTTTATGTGAACAGTGATTGTCATGAACTGGCTCAAATTCCAGACAAGAAAACTTAATCAAGGGTCAATATCATTACATTTATTTAACTAACAGCAAGCCCTAAATAAATGTACTGTAGGATTGGTATGTCAGTAATGGTATGTGTGTGAAAGTGATGTATGCTTGGCATTAAGTGAAAAAAAGAAACACAGCCGCACCAAAATTCAGCTGGAGGAGAGAGAGAGAGACAATTGATCTATGTTGCTGCCCTCTTCATAACCAATCAAGAGATTTCAGGGGAAGCTCTGCTCCACACACCTCTGCCTCTCTGACCTCATCCTGAACAGAACAAATAAAGAGCCTGGAGCAGCATGGGAGGGCCCATCACAGCGATAATGGCAGACACTAATTCATTTCTGGGATGACAGTAATGGGAAGTGAACAATGTTGTTTCGGAACTCTGTATTTTTGAGAGTTACGTTTATTCTGCAAAGATAAAACATATACACATTCCAGTTTTACAACATTTTAAAGATATTACTTCCCTGTCTCTTTCCTCCCAATTTACAAACTCCATTCAGCTTCAGTCATTTGTGGTTCTATAGGAACCTCTCAAGTTTGCATTGTTCAATACAATGTTGACCTGTTGTTTATGATGAATTCACATTAAATGTGTAATAAAATAATTAAAGAACCATCTGTGGATAAAGGTTCCAATATGTTATCCAGGCAGTTTGTGTTAAAGTGTTAAATCATCATTCAGTATTTCAGATTGGTAGAATAAATGTGTAGATCGCATTTGTATGACTGTGGTGAGGAGTATGTTCGTCTGTTAATTCAATGTTAATGTTTAGACTTTTGATTTGTTGCTTCTTTTGCTGATCAATGTTGAATTTAAATTATTTTTTTGCATCCATTCACTGAGGGCATTGGCCCATTTTCCATTATAGATTATAACAATGTAAAATATTACTCAGTATCTCTTGGCTCAAATCGATTCTATTGATTCAAAACATACAAATTCAAGATTCCATAGAACTGGAAGGTTCTGTCCTGGGACTTCTTCTGTTTACATTATACTGTGTCTGCTTCAACTTGAAAATATTATCAGAGGCTCGATCCGTTTTGTGGAAATGGTTCGGCTTCAACGGCAGATAAGAGCATAGAGTCATATGTAGGTTTTAACAGATTTAATGTACAATGGAATAGACAATGAATAGATCAAGCGCATGAGAACGAGTCTCTGAGTTTTGGGGAATTACTGAGCTCTGGCATGTCCAAGCAGAGAGGAGGCAGAGATCCAAAATGGAGCATGAGCTGAGCGTGGCTGGTCATTGTTTGGGCAGGTTAGTAATCCTAGGAGCAGGCAAAGAGATAAGAAGGTTCAGGCTGAGGGTGTAGCCAGGAAAAGACCCAGCAAGATGTTTTAGCTAAAGCAAGTCTAAATGCAGGTAGAGAGACAATCTGGAAGAGTCTAGTTGGTTGGCTGGTCCTTATCTAGTATTCTGGCCTGTGGTCTTGCTATTATGTAAGTCAGAAGTGCAGGGATGTTGGTGGGTAATCAGCAAACTGGAGGCCTAGCCAGGAATACACAGTCAGGGGCAGGAGGTAAATGAGGACATGCACGCATTGGAAGTAACAGAACATACAAGATATAGCCATACTCCAAATACCACTCATATACACACAACAACCTGTTTACACGTGTCACCCCCATCCAGTGACTTAAGGCCAGTTAACAAATTGTTGTTTATTACATGAAAAAACTGAATGAACAGGAGAC